GTAGTGAAGTTCTTGTATTTGCATGATGTGGAGAGAAAAAAAACTTCAGAATGTTGTCATAGCTTTATATCTTAGTATGGTAAATAAACTTTCATGGATAATAATTAAAAAGAGTAGTGAAGTAAATATGGAATGTATTATAGACGAATGAATCCTGGTCTTTAATTGTTTTTGTATCAGATATACTACTTAATAATAACAAGTAGTTTGATTATATTCAGGTATATTTTAAAATTTGTATTAAGATTTTGACACAACCATTAGTTGTTTTTACTGATTTAAAATGTATCCTATAGCTTCATTCTTATTCACTTATTCGATAAATGTAATTTGTATTCGACAATACCTTTTTTACAGTGAAAACGACACTCAGACACATAGTGACTGTAAATTCACGTCATGTGTTTTATTTTACATATAAACAGTGCACTTTCATTTAAATCAATTCTCAGAATGGGTTTTGTGGAGAATTTTAGAAATTTCAGTTTTTTTGAAATCATGAGTCAGTTGAAGCTAGACCACCATTGAAAACCTGGAAGCACTGGACGGCCGTTTCGTCCTGGTATGGGACTCCTCAGCAGTGCGCATCCACGTCCAGTGCTTCCAGGTTTGCAATGGTGGTCTAGCTTCAACTGACTCATGATTTCAAAAAAACTGTTAAATCAATTCGTTTGGTTTCGATAGTTGAAGCATAGTTTGATCGTTAGGCTAGGATAATTGTATACATTTTATGATTAGTAAAGTTACGAAATTTTATTGATTAAACCAACTTTCATTTAACTAAGAACTCAAGAAAAAACATCGTGATTTATTTCGTGTTTTTTAAAAAAAACTTTAGTTTTATACATTTCATTGCTTGATATTAGTGTTTCATATAATCTAACTGCAGTTTAAGACGATATCGGTTAGGTTTTCAATTTAGCCTTTAGTTTAAGATTTTTATTCACGTATGAACTTGTTATGCTCATATTACTACAACAGGCAATATTTATGTGTTCTATTCATTTTGAACGTAACTTGATTTCACTTGTTGGAACTGATAGATTTGTAGAATAAAAGTAATATACGATTGAAATGTTCAATCTTCCAAATATACATGTTCAATGTTGCAAGTTATTTGAGAGTGAATCACTGATGCTTTGTGTCTGATATGATATGTTTAGGCCCCCAAATGCCCTGGTACGGCCGAGAGTGGGGAGAGCCCGCTCTCCCTCTTGAAATGCTCTCACATGGCCACGCGTATATAACCTTTGCCAGGGAAGTCCTACTCACTGCCTTCTCGTGGCGGGGGTGTTGTTTACGAAAATGAGAGGACGGAAAGCGAATGTCCGGCGCTTTAACCCGATTCCAAATCAATGGTGCACATGGGCTCCAATATCTTGCGCGAACAAATGGCGTATGAACCAATTGTTGGTCACTGGCTTCCATGGGACTGCATCTCCTGACGATGCTCCACTGCCTTGTGGATTAGACCTTCAGGTCGAAGGCTCGGGGAGTGGCCTCCTAAGAAAACCACCTGCTTCGGTTTGGGTACCCGGGCAGTATCACAGCCCTCACACATATCGAATGAGATTTGTGTGGTGCATATGTATTTAGTGCCTATTTGTACCAATATCTATGACATGTTTAGGCAAATGTAATAGATGTTTAGTAATTAGGTTGCCGTGTTTTCGATTGAAGTAATGATGTAACTCATTCATAAAATACTGGTCAATTTACACGACTAATGTCAAATTCTCTGACAAGACCTCGTATCTAGATTTCTAATATCACCTAGTTAGAAGCTGTTGGCTTAATAAACTATTTATCCTAAGAAGACATACGAAATCACTTCGCTATGACCGATCGAAGCTTCTCATACAACTGATCTTCATCATTTTTGTTATCATTGATGGGTGCATAACATCCATGTTGATTCCTTCCTTTGTTTTAAAGGATGCTTTGCTGATTCTGGGTCCATGAGATTCCCATCCTATAAGTGCATTACGTGCTTATTTGGACAGAATTAGAGCAACTCCCTGAATGTTCGAAGCAGTCTCTTCTTCATAAGCAGAGTAAAGCAGCATCCCTCCTTTCCTGTTTAGCTTGGGTCCAATCGATTCCACTGAGTCCAAGAACCACCATGTTGTATCTCCTCATTTGCGCAGCTATTTAACTGGTCCTCCCAGTCTCCCACATTATTCAGACATTCCATATACCAATATTTATCGTTGCTCTGGTTGTTAGAAGGGTCGTCGGCTTCGTGGTTTTTGAAGAATCTCGGCTTTCACCATGAGGCGTCATAACTCTTATGCATGAATATTCTTCGATTCTGAGGGTGGAATTTAAATGGTTTTAGTTGTTTATCCTGGTTAGTGGTTTCTTAGCAAGGTTGTTTTCTACGGGATGGGGTTACTGACTTATGCCCGACCCTCCTCCTTTACCCGGGATTGGGATCGGTAGTAATCCTAGAATGGCTACGGCCAGAGTTATTGTTAAAAATAGTGGTAAGTTTACCCCAAGCTTGAATTAAGTAATTTTGTTTGATAACAGTTACGATTGTTATGTTAAACATTGAATTTAATACACTACCATTTGTTTATATAATTACATAATACCCGGTAAACCCATGCATGACATATAATCAGTATCCTACTGAATATTACGTTATTTCTACATAGCGAAAAATAACTTTCGGCAACCATGTAATTGTCTGGTTGTAAATAATCCATAACCAGCATTAACGGCCATTCTTCACTGCTTTGAGACCCAAATGAGCTGACCTTAGAAAATAAAATACTTCGTGTGTTTCCTTACAACTACGCATAATATAGTCTAAATAAGATCAAAACATTTTATGAGTACGTTTGGGTTACACTGCATTTGTTAGTATAAATATTAGGGGACTACGCTAAAAGTTACTCTATTGAAAGTTGTTTGATGGAAATAGGTTTAACTTTACGAAGTGGTTAGGTGACAAGTGTGATTTAATATCAAGGTTTTGAGTATTATCACGAATAAGCTCGGAGTGATCATACCATTCAGTAATACGGGAACTTTTCATATATAGTTCAAATTTGAAATTAATAATAGGCATATGGTAGTCTATTTATTTCCAACAAATAAAAAATCGAAGAGGAATTTCAAACTGGCCACAATATGCTGGGATAATTATTACTAAGTTGGATTCTTTAAAAAAAGCAGATGGTACCAACTAGTGTTTTGATTAATCACAATAGTATTAGAGTATTTAATAGACGAATACTCTACGATTATTAATCTAGATAACTAAGAATACAGAACACGTATACACTAGTTGAAATATCAAACATTTCTATTCGTTGAGAAACCAACTGATGTATTATCAGTGTTGTTCTTTATCTCACTCTAGTAACCATAAGGAGTAACATGGTTAAGAGAATTTCAGCATGTCGCCTTGAATCTTTGTTGAAAATATCACACTGAATGAATACAAACGAATCTGTTTATAATATTTTTGGAGGAGGACAGAAAGCTTACGTCACAGTGTTAACTTGTAACGGTTCCATTTCTTAATGGTAATTATAAAGTTAGTATAGACACATAGGATTTTGAAATGTACTGTAATGTTAAACTCTGTATGCTAACAGTTTTATCATTCCTGATCCTAAGAATATAAAAGATTAAGTTTAATTTTTAAAATACTTTTTGGAAAACTCAGCAAATGCACATTTGTAGCACAACTGAAACTCATTTTCCATTAAGAAGAAAGTAATCTACTAATTAGTAGTCTAAAAATAAAATTAAAGCATATCAGTCAAATCGATTAGCCTTTGAAGAGCTGAAATTCATTCTGAATAAATGAATTTGAAGAACAGATACTAAACTGTTTGGAGAACCGTTGAAGTTATCTGATTTCGCAAAATTTGGTATACTTAAAAAAGTTTTCTTTCTGACAAATAATCGATGTTAAGTAGTCCAATCTGCTTCCGATAAATTAGATAACTTGTAATTTTCATTGCATTATTCCTACCATTGTCAAATATGATTTATCTTATTTAATAAGAATGAGGTTGAATTAAGAAATGGGTTTGTGATAACAGTGAAGGTAGGATAAATTATAGTTATTACTCGACTAATATTTGTACGACCAATATGATGATATTAGTCAAGCGTAATAATATTGTGATTTTTTTCTGTAGTAACCATATAATACAAATAAAAGAAAGCACCAGGAACTATTTTGCTGAATAAACTGCTCTCAGAAAACTGTTTTCAAATTTTTTCCACCTACTTCTACTTTGAAATTGCGACTATTCTGTTAAATTTCGAATAACTTATTCGAAAAGAACTATTCCGTGACAATTCAATTCGAAAGACAAACCACTCTAGTCACAATCACATCAGAATTAGAACCAACTTCTCAACCGGCTCATCTGAGATACAACAAATCGATTAAGATCAATGACTTAGAGATACAGATACATAAGCCTCTTTAAACGCTTGTCTAACCTGCTACATGGGAAGACTAAAAATGACTAGGTTACTGTAGTTGGTAGACCGAATAGTGTCCACAAATTATTGGCAGATACATCAATCCCTTTGACCAGGAAAGAGAAATATTTAGGGTAAGACTTGAACTAAGTGTACAATCGGTTCCGTCCAATAGTATCCCTTGTTATCATCTTTCACCCCACCGTTTGGCTTTGAAATAACATGTAATATGTTTAGACTTGGATAGCTTATTAATACGTAGATTACATAATGATAATTTGTTCAAAAATGTGCAATTGTTATACTATGTATAATAGTAGAGCCTAATGGTTGAAACAGTCAAGTAGTAGCTTCAAAACTCATTCCATATATTTCAGTCTTGATAAGAAGATAGTATAATTAGTCGCTAATCTCTGCAGACCAACAACAATTATAGCTTAAAGTCAAGTATATGAGGATGAACTTGCTTACTTCTGAGTTACATTAATTAACTAAATTAACAATGCATAATAAATATGCTAATATCAATTTATAAAAGAACAGGAGGATCGTAACAAAAAGAAAAAAACAAACAAATTATATATTTATTTACAAATTTTTTTAAATTGAATAATTCAATAAGGCGATGAATGAACAACTACAAGAAAACTTTTAAAAACAATTCACTTCATTCACAGTTTGATTAGAAAATAAACGATCAAATGAGAAACGTACTAGATCGAATGTTTTATATTGTTGAAAGGCAATCAATTCAGAAATTGATTTTCCAATTGCTATAGCATGCTGTGTACCATGACCACTTGAACCATTGCAAAAATACATGTTAGTATGTAATGGATGGGAACCAATAATTAAATTTTGATCCCATGTATTATAATCACATATGGATATCCAACCTGAAGTTACCTATTTACACATTGAATGAAATTATATGAGTATACGGATACTATGTTTTGAGATTATATTAATTAGTATTTATGAAGATATTATGCACATATATATATCAATTGTTGGAGATCCTGTTTCTGATCCGGAAATGGACAAGGGTGTTTTATTCCGGAGTTGATGTTCACTAATTAGTGTCAGGAGAAATTTCACATTCAAGCCGACGTAAGACTGAAATCCTGTGAACAACTTTTGTCCATCTTAAAATCTGAAGAACAGTTAAGTTCTTATCGTTTAAAACATTTTAATAAGTTAAGACAAAGATCTACAAATTTAATAATACTTTCTTGTTTGTTTTTTGGGTACTTCAAAATGCTGAGTCAGAATCCAATGATCAACACTTCCAAATTCCATTGATTAATATATATAATTACTATAAATATCTAATTGATAAATTTCACTAAGAAAATACAGAGTTATTGTGTAATCTAAGCTAAGTCAACAAATGTAGTCAAATCACACATCTGACATCAAGTGATATAATCTATTTATCAGTATTATTTTTCAAGAAAAATAAATCAAATTATTATATTTAAATCATCAAGTTAATTACTTCAGCATCTTTAAATCCTGGTATACGTTTACACAATAACGGTTGAATATATTCATGGAAAAATTCATGGTTCACCGAATTCTGATATTAAAATAAGAATAAATGAATAGAAAATGGTAGGAATTGAAATGAAAATTAACTGACGATTCAAACAATACAATCAAGTCTAATAAGATGCAGCTGGCGAAATATTAATCCAGAGATTACGCAGAGCAGTCCGAATATCATTCAAAATCAGCGAACTAAGACTAGTGTTTTCTGCACACCAAGGCTAAAAGATGAACGACCTAGAATAACTATCCCGTTTTGTATTTATCAGTTCCACTGCTCTTGTGGAGCAAGTTATATTGGTCAAATTCCTAGGAATTTACACCTTCGTGCTCGCGACCACCTCTCAGCGTGACTAAGCGAAGTTTTAGTAGTGAACAGTTCGATATTGGCTCATTTAGTGCAAGCTGGTCATAGTGCCAGTATAGGCCAATCTTTTTCAATTATTTATCCAATCAGTAATTTTTCTCAAAAGCCTGTCAAACTCAAAGTCCTTCAAATGGCGGAAGTAGTAGCCATCTGGATCAAGAAACCGGAGATTTGTGCAAAATAAATATCTTCAACCACTTATCCTACCTCCGATAAGTCAATAGTCATCTTGATTATGGCATGATCTACTTTGACTGATCTACATACATCTTTCCTCCTTTATATTTTCGTAATTTACAATGATTTTAGGTAACTTTTGTTATTGTTATATGCTATATATTATTGTAATAATTATCACAATTACTATTAACATCAATCTTGTGAAAACACCAAGAATTTGATTACCTATTATCCCGTTTTATTATCCCATATTATTGTAGACACTAAATATTCTTTGACCAAACAATTTGATTTGATTTGCAATTACACAATAGTTTCTTTCACTCTGGATTAATCAACCTTATTTATATTACTAACCTTGTAATTTCATTTAATGTATAAATCTATTCCAGTTAACATTAGATACTAATCATTTCAACATGAACAATTCTATTTTAAAATGTTTTATATTCCTATGCTGGATTATTTGTCTTAAAATTGACTATTCTTTTGAAACCTACACTTGCATTTATAAATGTAGAACTTGATGTGAATATGAAGAGAAGAATATTCTTTATTCAGATATTTTCTTTAAGCGTTTCGATTTATTCATTGAAAGCCAAGAAGAAAAAAAGAGTTCCAGTCTATTCATTACTGTTGTTTATCTTCGAAGTTAGATTATGTAAAGCAATCGATAAGTCAGTCAGTGAAATTCTTCATTTTAAAGCTTTTGTAATAAAGATAAATTATTTCATTGTGAAAAGTATTCGTTAATGCGTTCCCACTTTTTTTCGAATATAAATATCAATGATTTAATAATCATTACTGAAGTTAATTCAAGTTAAATAGAATTTGAACGGCGGTAAAAAAAACAACTAAACGGATAAATGTTTATCCAATAGTAAATAGATCTCGTGGAACCAATTCTGAAGAAAAACAGTATGATGTGGAAACGAATTGCTGTTAGATGAATGACAACTTAATATTATTTATGATTTCCTAGAACTACGATTTCATAATTGCCTATTCTTAAGCTTTCATTTTTCTTAAGTAGTAGTCACTTGATTTAGCAAAGGTGTAGTGAAGACAGTGAACAGCTCAATACTGGCTTAATTAGTGCAAACTGATCATAGTGCCAGTATAAGCCAACCTTTCACAATAATTTATCGGGTCAGTAATTTTTTGCCATAGTCTGTTAAATGACTAATTGAAAAACATAAAATATAACCACAGAATCTAATAATTTAAATTACTGAAAAATTATGTGATATTTTTACACTAATCTCCTGCACTTCAACGGGATATTTTAGTATGAGCAGTATGGAACGTTGTTACTTACACTGACTGATAACTGTGTAATGACCGATGTCATGTTTAACTAGTTCAATAATGCTGACCGAACTCTATAGATCAAGTTAAAGTGTGGCTATAGTAGATTGTGTCATGCAGAATCCCATGTACTATGTTTTGAAGTTAGGTGGATAGTGAAAATCAATGGGAAACTCTGGATATAGATTTCATAATAGTTGGTATTCGTCAGCAAGTTGTATCTGAAATGTTGTGGAGGTTAATGCTCAGCCAGTCGTGACCTAAACAGCCCAGTAGCAAAGTCTATGACTGTGATACAGGTTAGACCTAACTCAAGTTCCGTAAATAGCATTGATTCCCTTAAGAGTGCAAGCAGTTTTTCCTGAAGAGTAACGGATAGTACGAAACATAGGTCCAAGGATTTATGCCGATTACCTACAAATACTTAACACTTAGTGTTTGTGATGTCTTTCTTCTACAGGCACGTTGTCCAATCTAACTATCTAGATGTAATTGGGAAAGTCAAATTTGTCGAAATAGAAAGCAGGTAATAAAAATACCTATATATAGTCTTAACAAATAAATAACTTACTTGTTTATTACAATTATTATTAAGAAAATCAAATTTAGGATTATCAGAATAAACAATAAATTCCCCGGAAAGATCACGACGTTCAATAAATAAACGATTATGATCTATCATAAATGGCATATCTAAACCAGGTAATGGATAATGACTTTCTATATGACTAAGTGTATTTTTAGGTCGCACAACGAAAATTTGACGATATCTAGATCAAGAGATAATGAAGCGAAGAAAACAAACAACTCATGAGTACAACAATGAAAATAGAATATGAATAGTTCATTAATGTGAACAATGATATCATTGTCTAAACCTTAACCTATAGGTCTTGACGAACTATCATTAAAGTGACATTTAAAAATTTTATAAAATTTGAGCATAAACGTTTAGTCTAACATCGCTATTATTTGGAGAAATTTCAATAATGATTAATGAGATGGAAGTAATTCTGATAGACTTGAAAATTTTGATATTTTTAGGAAAAACTATTTAAAAAAATAAAAGATTTGACACAAATGTGCATCAATTCGAACTAGTATAGTTTACATCAGTATGAGATGGGGAATTAATTAATAAGATTATAAGTAAAAGAGTTAAAACAATAATATCGATAGCAGTGAAACTTGCAGAAAATATAGTTTGAAAAGATTGTGTAACACTAAAACCGAAGGTTCAGAGGAATAAAGAGAATAAATATATATGGGTTACTACAAGAGATTCCAAGCAATACTATTCAAGCTATCTGCTCACAAACAATGACTACTACACGGATCTAATCTAGAGCAAATTTCAATTTAAACCTTTGCCACCCAGCATAGAACGTTAGAATAGACAGTGAAAAAGAGTAGACAATACATGTTTTACCCTCAGTCGATTAAAACTCAGCTTTATAGATTGATTTATCATCTCTACCTAGTATCCTATGCATAACCTTAGTAATACTCACAGTGTTTCACATTTGTAAAGTAATAAGGTGAAAACTATTGTGGAGTATAATGACGTTTTGAAAAGAAGATAGATATCTTTCGTGAACTTGTAGCGTCGGTCGCTATGCCAGTCCACATAGTTTATTCTAGCTTTCGGACAGGCCGATTTATCCATCCTTCTTGAGTCAAAATTTGGCCTTGTTAATTGTTAGCTTATTAATCCTGAATGTTCTTTATATGATCGTATGCGTGAGCATTTCTTATCATATCCGTCACATGTCTGTAACTTATTTTTGTTTGACTGTAAATATCGATTCACGCTTGGTTAAATCGAGTTGGCCCACTCGCCTTCTCCATCACGCGTCATTATTCTTTCCTTTGTTTTCCAATCAACGATTGTATAGAATATACGTACTCAAAAATCGTTCTGGTGTTTAACTTATTGAGTTCCGTTATTCACCAACGCGATTAAAGTTGATGATTATACACGAGGATTGGCGACATGTATATTTCGATAACAATCAGAAACGATCTAACTGGAGTCAGATACCGAGCCACTAAAAACTTCAGATGATGGAAGTGACAAAAACCAAGCCAGGTTAATGTACTCGTCCTGGGATTTAGTTAGCTAACGACCCAGTTGGGTTGGTGAGACTCGTAATGTAAGTGAATTGATAAACGAGCCCAACTACTTTAGTCTCTATGGTCAGCTAAGCTATTGACTTAGATCGGTCCTGTGGGAAGATTTTGTATTTAGAGGGAGTAAATAGATCTGAAAACCCTTGATTCGTCAATTTGTATTTATTCAGAGTATTTATTAAACAGGGCGATGTTAGTTGTGTGCTTGAAGTCTGTAAGGAAACTTTCACGTAGAAGGCTAATTTCTATGGTATAAAATGACATTTGTGTGCTCAAGAAATAGGAAAAAACAACTAGTGTTATCGGGTTAAAGATAAAAATCATTTTGAATTTCTCCTACATTCAAAGCAATTTTTTGTACTAAATGTTAAGATGAATAAGATTTGTAACCTGAAGATTCCGTAGAATTTTCGAATGCTTACTTTGAAAATAAATTCCATGATAACTTATGTAGAAGTGAGGAGGACAGGAAAATGATATATAAAAAAAAACGGTGAATTTAAAAAGGAAGTAAACTATTTACAAATCACCTTGGCTCAACTGGTAACCGTACAGGAAGATTTTCGCTGCCAATTTCAGCCAATTCAGCCACATGTGCTGCCCATGGACCTGCTGCATTTACTACTGAATTAAAACCAATAGAAATATTCATTTGGTTGGGAAGGGAAATCTGAACAGATTGGAATCAAACAAATAAAGATACGTGAATTAATGGTAAAAATGCATATTTTCTAAGGTAGAAAAAGAATATTTTATGTAAATGTACATTTGATTCTTTTGAATCGACCAATTGCAAATATTTCAATGGCTTAAATACATTCCTGTAAAGAATATATCATCACGACTGTACCTTCGAAATAGCATGAAATCTGTAAAAATTTTTCTTAAATAGAAATATTTCCATTATTACTAATATGTGGTTAAGTGATGCTTACTTACAAAAGCCGTACTACTAACGCAAAGCCTCTCAAAGAAGTAGACTAAACGACTGGTCGGTAGTTTGACACATTTATATACAAGATACTGAATAAGAGAAGTAAACATGATTAAAAGTTATTTAAAACATAATTGAATGATGGGTATGAGTTCTGTAGGTCAGTCACCAGCCTATGAAGTTTGGACCACAATATCAGGTTTATTTATTGCCCATTGTATCAATAAAAACTTATTACGCAAATTCAACAGAGCGATATAATGTATGATCTACCAAGATTACTTATTCCTTTAAAAAGCCAAGTAGAAATTACTGCTATTGTATTTAGTTGAGCTGAACATCAGAACTGTAACCCAGTACAAACGTGTATGTTAATGCACTTCGTTCTGAGATTATACTCTCAGATTGACGGTTCGTGACATGACCCAACTGCTGGAGCTAAAGTGGTTGGAGTAGGATTAGAACATGCAGCTCAAAGGTTGAGATTCAAATGATTAAATCACTAAAACACTGCTCCAGTTTGGTTGAAATTACTCTTTGTATGCTGTATTTATGAATATGAAAAACGCTAGTATTTTAGCTGGAACATAATGGACAGAGGTATATTATTTAAAAACCAAGGTAACCTGTTGGATAATTGTACTTGTGCAAGATTAAAACGAACAGAATTAGATGACTTTATTAAAGCTTACTGTAGCAGAACGTAAAGGTTTACATAATACTGGAGGTCTCTGTGACTCCCCACCAGAAGAAGATACCATAATGAATGGACTAGCATGGAAGTCAGTCACTTCTCCAACAACATAGTTTACTCCCATGAAATGACATTTTATTTTCAATGCCTTCAGTAAATGAAAAGGATCAAACCATCCTTCATTTTCATAACCTAGAAAAGAAAGTAGATATGTTATTTGTTTGAAAATACGAAGATAATTAAACAAACTTAACGAGAAAAATTATTTTTGATATGAATCTAGATATACCATATGATAACCTAAAAAGAGAGATCGTTCATTTCACATCTTTGACCGATCAGCAGATGATCGAGCAGCCTTTAGTTAGAGTACAGCTAGGTGACAATACACAGTCAAAGTTGAAATGGCATATGACAAATATATTGAGAAGTCGTCTTGTGCATAAATTCCCATTATATCATTTTTGGCTCAGACGTCTCCGTGTATTTAGTGTCGGAAATAAAAAAGTTTAACTACATACAATGTCACCGATGGTGAAGATTCGTGTAACTGACGTCAGGTTCGAGCATGTACAACTTGGTACTGTTGAACCCTTGCCACCTAATAACTTTACATACTAGCATGTATTGATTGATTCACTAGGCGACCAATAGCCAATTCATTAAAAGACACTACATAAGAGGTAGTGGTAAAGAAATTTGTGAAGGACTCGGTTGGCAATTTTGGAGTTCTAAAAACAACTACCACAAATAGGGTTTCATAATTCGAAAGTCGTCTGTCTCATCGCCCAGTAGTCGTTGAGCATCAAACGAATATGAACCACAGCTTGTCACCCTGCCACAGGCGGAATGATAGAGGTTTCACCGACAACTAAAAGCCTCTTTAACAGCCATGGGATGTCAATCTCCCTTTAGTATTACTAAAGATTCTCACAACCTTCAAGAGAGGCATCGGGTGCTGGGCTGCCAAGTTGGTTTTTGAAACAAAACTGTTTCAGAAATCTCAACACGGATTCAAAAAGCCCGTTTGGCTTTTGCCAACTTAGGTCACCTATGACGAAGACGAGATATTCGTCTATCAATTAAGGGACGAGTATACTGAGCGGCAGTTCGTTCTGTTCTACTTAACGGCTGCGAAACGTATCAATTAAGAGTAGAAGATACTCGTGAGTTACTAGTATTCGATCACAGATGCCTTAGAAATATTGTTTGCATCTGCTGGGATCACTGGATCAGTAATAGTGAGGTTAGACGCAGAGCATTAGGGAATGATGATAAATCAGTTCATGAGATTGGGAATCTTCATAGACTGAGATGGTTGGGCCACGTGTTACGTATGCCTGAAAACCGATTACCACGACGTGAGTGCTGACTAGTGTTGGAGATGGTTAGAAAGTTATGGGCGGCCAAACCAAAACGTGGAGTCAGTGCTCGAGGTCACTAACTTTTGGTTTGTGCCGTGTTGGTAGATGCAGACTACTTGGTTGGGGTCCGCGCGACTATCGTAACCAATGGTTGGAGACTCTTGGTGACATAGCTCACAATTGATCGCAATGGTGTAGTGTATACACTCTCTGTCTTCTCTTAAACTATGACATTAAAACCACTTTATATCTTTCTACCAACTAATTTTTTCTTCTTGTGCTATGTCCTCATATGCAATCTTTCTTTTACATATTACCACCACTGAATTAACTACTTCTATGAATTCGGTGTTCATCTTGTTGTGCTAATGAGGTATGACAACTTGGACCGATGCACATATGTGCCTGGTCCTACGTTGTAGCTGACTGACTGACTGACTGACTGCTCGACCTCGGGTCATAATGCGTGTGAGCCAGTGATACATATTGCCTGGCTACTTGAGAAGTAAACATGTAAAGTGGAGTTTAAACCTCTAACTCAGTAGTTGAAAGTCAAGTGATTTAACTACCTAACTGTTATTGTTCAACTATTGCAGTTATCAAACAAATTTGGGATCAAATCCTAAATGAAATATTACAGATATATTCCAATACACACTAACCGTAGCAACCCATTTCAATATCGTCAACATTCATCCATGGCCAACGCGCAGACAGATCGTCTTTAGTTAGCAGTTCAACTTTTGCTCCTAGATCACTATAACAAATAGTAATTAGTAAGGAGATAAATAACAATAAAAGTGTACATCTGTAATAAATAATTCTCTTTTAACAAATCCACATTCTCAGCATTTGCTAACATTAAACAACCTTGAGGATTGAAACCAATATCTATGCTTTCTGTTGGATCTTAACTAAACAATTTATAAAATTACTCGTTTCAAACCTTCCACCGATAGATAATTTGAGACATTTCTCAAAAACCCGATTGAAAACAATGACATCTGTATATTTTCTGGTTCTGAAAACTGTTGTCGTATAGATCCTAGTCCAAGAACCGTGGCTGACTGACTATATGTAGGATCCTTCTCAACAACAGTGACAGAAAACTTTGAATCACGTCGGAGCCAAAAAGCTGTTGCCCAACCTATGATACCTCCACCGATAACTAGTACATCTGTGTTTCTCGGAACTTGATCTTCTCTATCTAGGTATAAGATAAGGGAGAAATAGTATATTGACATGCATGTAATATGTGAAGTAGACCATTTTAAAGGTAGCCTTGTGTATATACTTCTTTTTTGACTTTTGACAAGGCCAGAAGATACGGCATAGTTTAATCGATTTAATCCAAACTTCAGCATGTGAGTTCCTAAAAACTATTAGAAAAGAATGGACTGCTTGAAGTTGTGATTAAGAAAACAAACGTTTACCATGAATAACAAAAAAACAACGTAATGTGTCAGGAATATCGAAACTTTAACGGGTTTTAGATCGAAGTTCATCATGATTTTTGATTTCTTTCTTAGATCTGTGAGGATAACTTAAGAGTCAAGAAGGTAATTTTGGTTGTGTTACTGTTATTAAACTGTAAGACTAAGTAAAGCTTTTTCGTATCAAGAGACATTAAAATAACAAGTTTGAAAGTACTAAAGATTTTTGTAATGTTCTTGAAAATCAACTACGCAGTTTTATGAAACTACTTAAGTAAATTGTTTCGCACCTAGTCAATTGGCCACTGAATTTTTCGTCGTTTTTCTGTATATCAGATCACGATCCTATCTGATTGGACTTAAATTGTTGATTTAGGTGAGTTTTCACATAACTTTCGTAACAACATACTACAGAAGAAACCAAAAGCAACATGAAGAGCAAGTAATCTAGAACGGGAACAACATTTTTGAGTGGTTGGTTTTAAAATAGAGGGAAGTAGTCTGAGCGAGAAAAAACAACAGGAAAAAGGGAATAGATGTGGGTCCATAATTACAGTTTCAAACTTATGTTGGTATTGTACCTTTCTCCTTTAAGGTTGGTAAAGTCATACTTAGTGTATGTGGTATGCATATATGGATACTGTGCAGGTTGCACAAGTATCTTTAATACTCCTTTCCACTGATGTAAAACATTTTCGAGAAATAACAGATGCGGATGCATGTGTAATTTAGGCGAACTTAGATGTTCCGGTTAGCTGTATTAGAAAATAGTTAGTGGCCATCAACACAAAAGGTGTGTCTCCATGCCCTTTGAGGATACAAAGGTAAATAGGTACAGTATACGGAAAGAGTCGAGACCCGAGGCTCGGTCACACAATGATTTTGCAGTAACAATGAGCCGTGGTCTTGCGACAACACCCCACGACCACGCAGTCGCAGTTAATAGGTTTTAAGACCGAAATTTATTGCGCCGGATACTGATTTGTTCACAACAGTATACACAGTGTGGAGGGGAATAATATTTTGTCCAGGAAAGACTTATCATTCTTGACAAATCTGCTCATTGCAAGAGAAGATTGGGCTGCAGCGAAAGATAGCAATATCCCTGTAGATGTAATTTTCATAGATCCAAGTAAAGTCTTTGGCAAGGCTTCCCATTCGGGTCTTAAATTAAAACTAGAAAGTTTTGGAATCTATTATAAGGTTACAAACTGGATAAGTGACTTTCTCAGTAATAGGAGACAACGGACACGGGTAAATGGGGCTGTGTCAGTGTGGGAATCTGCAAAAAGCGGAGTTCCCCGATGTAAAATCCTCCGTCCTTTTCTTCTTTACTTTATGTAGATGACTTACCAATTGTAGCAAAGTGATTCGTTCTATTCTTTGAGGATAAAATAAAGATTTGGAGGTCCATACACAGACAGAATGATATTACGGGATGACTTAGATTCAATGATTGAGTGGATGAATAGATGGTCACTAGAAGTTAACTCCAACAAGAGTTTGGTGATGCAACTAAATAGCTGCGACGATTCATATCATTACACAGTACGTGGAGTTGTGTTACATAAAGTAAGCTGGGAGAATATATTCGCAGTGTCTTACCAGATGACTCTAAAGGAGTTCAGGTAAAAAAACTGGTTAGAATAGGCAAGAGGACTGAGGAAAATGTTGAACCCCGACCATGTAGACTCCTTAAGGTAATCTTAGGATCGGAGAAGCAACGGGATCTCCTGTTAAGTGGAGCTCGTTATCACGACAATTCCGATATACGGGTTAGACCTGATATGTCTCTCGAAGATAGAATAAAAAGGAAGAAAGCACTAGCTGAACTAGAAACCTGTCGGCAAAACGGTGAGGAAAATCTCCGGCTAGTGGATTTTCGGATACTCAGGTCTTGGAAGCGAATGCTATCAAGACCTGTGTGGATAGGCCGTTCTACTTAGGAGTTTTATATGCCAATGCTCGTAGTCTAAGAAATAAGTTCTATGAACTAGAAGCGTTGGTGGACAGATTAACGCCACTCATCGTAGCAGTGACAGAAACTTGGTTAGTCCATGACTTAGACATTACACCAGAATTATTCGGATACCATTATCTCAGGAGTGATAGACATAGATGTAGAAAAGGAGGTGGCGTCCTGTTATATATAACCAATAATATAAATATCCGCTCCTGTGCTAGCGAATCCCATGATAGCGGTACTTGTGAAATCATTAGCAGTAAATTAGCTATCGGATGTAGTATATTTATGCTCGATGTCATCTATCGCAGCCCGATGTGCTTAGCTGATGACTTTATTTTAGAGCACATTCATCTTTGGAGTGCAAATACCAGATGTTTGATAACCGGAGACTTTAATGCGCCTGATATTAGTTGGACTGAGATGACCACGGAAGGATCTATAAACTCCTTTGATAGTAGGTTCCTGGTAACAATAATGGAGCATGCACTAGTGCAGCATGTATCCAAACTCACACGTTTTGGTGCTAACCAATGTTCTTCTCTGTTGGACTTGGTAATCACTCATGCGACTGAGAACATCGCAAATCTAAATATTCTTCCGCCATTAGTGAACAGCGATCACGCTGTTTTGTCATTCATGTTTAGAACTAGGAACATGTTATGCGATCAGGTTACACCCCGCCCAAATTTATGGAAAGCTAACATATCAGCCATTCAGGAATGCGCTGCTAAGGCAGATTGGTTTGCAGATACTAGCTTATCAGTTGAAGAAGCATGGTCTGTATTTAACGGTAAGTTTAGTTTATTTACGTCCTCGTTCATACCATACCTGGTACCGCGAAGACCGAATAACAGTCCATCATGGATAACGAAAACAGTCAGGAAACTTAGAAAAAAGACGAAGCACTGGAATATGTTCATCCCTACTGGCTTAGAACAATACAGATCCAGTTATTGTAAGATTAGGAATGCCTGTAAAGCGTTAATTAATAAGACTAGACGATCATATGAAAAACAATTGGTTAGGGATTTTAGATATAGTCCGAAACGGTTATTCTCGTATTTAAAAGGGCGAACTCAGAGGAGCGATGGAATTCCATCACTTTTGGTACAAGAAAATCCGTTAGTCTTGGCAGAAAATGATGCCGAAAAAGCTGAAGCTTTATCGGAATATTTCAGGAAAGTGTTTTCTATCGGTAATGAGGAACGACAAACGATTCATTGTGATCGTGGCGGCTCGCTGATGGACCCTGTAGTCATTGAGAAAGGTACTGTTTTAAGGCTACTTCAGCGTCTCAAACCTGATAAGTCCAGTGGTCTTGATGATATTCATCCTAGGATTATGAAAGCCATATCAGATGTAATTGCTGAACCATTAACGATCCTGTTTGACATGTCTCTAAGGCATTCCAGACAGCCCAGAGACTGGAAAGACGCTATAATAAGTCCGATGTATAAGGCTGGGAGTAGGGATTTAGTTAGTAACTATAGGCCCGTTAGCTTAACTAGTGCAGCTGTAAAACATGGAAAAAAATCATCCGGATATGTTATAAACTATGCTGAAGGGCATAATCTTTTCTCCAGGGAACAACATGGTTTTCGGAGAGGCCTATCATGCTTGACAAATCTCATTGCAAGAGATCGGGCTGCTACAAAATATCAGAATATTCCTGTGGATGTGATCTTTATAGATCTAAGTAAGGCCTTCGATAAAGTCTCCCACTCTGGTCTTAAATTCAAACTGGAACGTTTTGGAATCCATAACACAGTCGTAGATTGGATAAGTAACTTTCTGCATGACAGGAGACAAAGGGTAAGGGTAAATGGGGCTCTCTCCTCGTGAGTACCTGTAAAAAGTGGAGTTCCCCAAGGTACAATCCTCAGTCCTCTTTTCTTTTTACTTTATGTAAATGAATTACCAACTATAGCGAAACCACCCGTCCTACTCTTCGCTGATGACATAAAGATTTGGAGACCCATACACAGTATGTCGGATAGGATAGTATTACAGAATTATCTTAGCTCATTGGTGGGATGGTTGGACAGGTGGTCACTAGAAGTAAATCCTAATAAGAGTGTAGTGATGCAAATAAATAACTATGATGAATCGTATTACTACATAATAGGTGGATTCGTGCTACTCAAAGTAAGAAACTATAAAGACTTAGGAGTCATATTAAGCAGTGATCTCAAAACCACTAGTCACTGTAAGGCTGCTGCTGCGAAAGACTATAGGGTATTATGGTCTATTCTTAGGTCTTTCCAGTATTTAGATGATGAAATGTTTAGATTATTATACCCGATTTACGTGCGACTACATTTAGAATATGTGATTCAAGCAGCGAGTCCTTGTTTCAAGTATGAAGAAGAGATGCTAGAAAGAGTCCAACGACGAGGTACTAAGATGATACAAGGTCTATCTGACCTATCTTATCAAGACAGACTGAAACACCTCAACTTATTTCCGCTATCTTAACGTAGAGTAGGGGTGATCTAATATTGGCTTATCGTATACTGAACGATGACCTTGGTATTAACATGTCTTATCTTTTACTTCCGTCCAGAACTGATCACTTGAGAGGACATTCGAAGAAAGTTCAAAAACCGAGATCAAGTCGTCTACGTCTGGAACTTCGTTTCTCGCAACGAGTATTGAATTACTGGAATTATCTACCGGAACACGTAATATCAGCACCTTCCGTTGATATATTCAAAACGAGATTGGACCTCCACAGTATTACAAACTGCAAGGATTAATATAAGTCGATAGACCTCCTATCCTTATTACTGAAGACTAATGGAATATAAAGATCTGGGAATCATAATGAACTATATATGGACAGCTTTGAGGACGTAGCCGCAGAGTACAAAAGCGAGAAACAAACAAAATATCTAAAGTATGCAGGTTTTCACACAATCACCAACTCTCAGAACCTGTTACTTGGAAAAATAGCGTCCGCCCCTTCAATTAACTCATTCACAAGAAGACCAGATACTTTTAGAAGTATATGCTCCTAAATATATATTTATATGCTTCTAATATATATTAGAAAAGGATCCTAACAGAAGCTGTATGACTTTCATATAAAGTCATTGTGACCGTTACTAAAAAGGAGTAATTTAGTTGCTGAATGTATAGGGATTTAGGCATTTGAAGTTTGCAACGATATCGAAATTTTGTACACTTATTACACAAAACTGCAAATAAAAGCCTTCAGAACTTACTGTTGCGCTACAGTTGGAACTCCGCCTGAGCTTTTTAGTGTGTTGTGGAGTTAAATAACGTGATCTGGTACAACAAATCGTAAACTATGAGTCTGTTCCTTTTTTGAGATTCTATAAATCATTGCCCTATCTTAATTTTTTATACATTGGAATATTTTTTCGTGCTTTTTGGATATATATATATATTTTTTTTCCCTCGTTCATTATCGTACTTCATATTTCATCATGACTGAACAGACACCCAAAGTACTTAAGCTTAAGACTTTGTCCCCACCTTCGTTTCAGCTGATGCTCTTCTGGCCAGACAACATCAAAGCCTGGTTCTGCTACGCAGAAGCCGACTTCTCCGAGCACGGCGTGATCGACACACGTGCACAATTCCTCTCAGTGGTCAAGGCACTATCGGGCGAATTCAACAGGTACGTAACACCTAGTATGTTTACTGGTGATGTTTCTGAACCTTACAAAACGCTTAAACGTTCTATCCTTAATCGCAGAGCCCTTACCGATAGACAAAGGTTAAACCAACTCCACAACAACATCGACCTGCAACACAGTTCAGCGACGGACATGTTGCAACGAATGAGAGAGGTTATCGGCCAAAGAACTTTCGATGATGGCCTATTCAAACAACTTGACATAACAGAGTAATGTCGTGCACTTACGCGTTATCTTAATTTTCGTAACGACCGTAAGCGATCGCACACCCCACGTAGAATCATTTCACGTAAGCGATCTATCTCTAGACCACGGGAGACGGATAATCCCGACTGGTGCTGGTATCATAATCAGTATGGAAAGTCTACCAGAAATTGCAGAAAACCTTGCAACTTTCCCAAGTCAAAACCGAGCGACACGGAAAACAATTCGGGAAACTTCCAAGCCGGCACGCGTTAACGGCAACCGTAGGCAGCGAACATAGCCGTCTGTTATACGTCACAGATGTGGCAACGAGAGTTCGCTACCTCGTCGACACTGGCGCGGAAGTTAGCGTTCTCCCAGCGAATCCCGACGACTGGCTTCACGAATCAGCTTTAAACTTACAGGCGGCAAACGGAAAGCCTATCTCTACGTATGGCAAAAGGTACGTCTACCTTAACGTGAGATTACGCAAACCCATTCACTGGATCTTCGTTGTTGCAGATGTTTCTATACCAATCATTGGTATGAACCTTCTACAACACCATGATCTAATCATCGATGCTCACAAACGGAGGCTAGTACACGGAAACACTAATTTATCAGTTTGCGTAACTTCTTTTTCTGTGTGCAGATTATCCCCAGTCACAATTAAGCATATGACAGACCCACTTTATCATCCACTTCTCGATAAGTATCCTGGGATACACCAAACGCAACCGAAATTGCCGTGTGTACCCAGCAACGTTACACATCACATCACGACTACAGGACCACCTGTATTCTCTAAAGCACGGCGACTAGCCCCCGAAAAGCTAAGGTTGGCGATAAACGAGTTCGAACACATGATAGACTTAGGAATCATACGACCGTCAAACAGCCCATGGGCATCTCCGTTGCGCATGGTCCCCAAAAAGGACAGCAACGGTTGGCGTCCAACTGGTGACTATCGGTGACAATCGTTACCCGTTGCCTCACATTCACGATTTGACAGCTACTTTGAAAGGTATAACTGTCTTTTCGAAAATCGACTTAGTTAAAGCGTATAACTAAATCCCTATGGCTACCGAAAACAGCCATCATTACTTCCCATGGACTCTACGAATTTTCGCGAATGCCTTTCGGTCTAAGAAACACTGCCCAAACATTCCAAAGATTCATAGACGACGTTTTTCGAGGTCTCAACTTCGTACATGCGTATGTTGACGACTGTTTAATAGCAAGTCCGGACAGAGAATCACATCTCAAGCATCTGGATCTTGTTTTCAACGAACTACAAAAACATGGCATTACTGTGAACGTTCAGAAATGCCAAATCGGAACTGACTCATTAGATTTCCTAGGACACACTATAGATGCTCAAGGCATTCGACCTCTTAGGACCAAAGTGGCGGCCATTCTGGATTACCCAGAACCGACCACGATCAAGCAACTACGAACGTTTAACGGCCTTGTAAGTTTCTATAGACGATTCATACCAAAATGCGCTTTACTCATGAAACCTCTTACCGACCAACTTCGTGGAAATGCGAAATCCATTAATTTGGACAACACCACACGAAAAGCATTCTCCACAATTAAGGAACTCATCGTTAAAGCAACAATGCTTGCACATCAGGACACCCGAGCACCCATTAGTATCGCAGTAGACACACCCGACTCAGCAATCGGAGGAGTCTTACAACAATGGGTTAACAACTGGCAACCTTTGGCATTTTTCTCTGGACGGTTGCTAGACTCCGAATCGAGGTACAGCACATTCGGTAGGGAACTCCTAGCTATGTATTGTGCTGTACGGCATTTTCAACACTATACCGAAGGGCGTGGACTCACCCTTTTTACTGACCATAAACCTCTTACTTCCTCGCTAAGCTCATCTTCAGACAAGTACTCACCTCGTGAGTTTCGACAACTGGACTACATTTCGCCGTTTGCTTCAGACATCCAACACATTTCTGGAGCAAACAATGGAGTTGCAGGTGCCTTGTCTCGAATAACTTCCTTAAACAGTTTCTAAGGAATCCACCTTCTTAAACTCGCCCAGCTTCAAAAAGAAGACACTGATCTTCAGCACTAGTTATCGTCCACAACACTCAAGCTACTCACAAGCAAACGGGTTGGTAGAACGCTTTCATCGACAACTAAAAGCTTCACTATCAGCTGCAAACACTTCTCAGTGGACTGACGCACTTCTACTCGTCTTACTAGGTATTCGCAATGCAGTCGAAGCTGACATTGGATACTCTGCGGTTCAACTCGTTTATGGAACGACACTTCGACTTCCAGGAGAATTCGTGGATAATTCATCCTCTTCAATGAACATGGATCTAACCTCCTACACGAGCAGACTTACAAACGCAGTGCGCCCAGTTAAACCTGCTTTCACTCGACCTCAATCAACTGATGTTTTCGTTCAGCCTGACTTACGATATAGTACACACGTCTTCGTACATCGAGACTCGCATCAACGACCTTTTGAATCAGCATACGATGGACCTTTCAAGGTTCTTCAACGCGATTCTAGGTACTATATAATCGATAAGAACGGAACCAACGATAGCATCAGCATCGGTCGCCTGATAGCAGCGTATTTAGAAGGAAATCCTATCCACTTTGATTTTCCTTCGGTACAATCGAACGACACGACTCCGACGTTTATAATACCTCATCCGACAACCAACACGCACGATGATACTTCGGCAGTATCTGAAAATAAATTTGAAACAACGCGTTCTGGAAGAAGGGTAAGATTTCCAGAACATTTAAATGACGATTGCACGTAAGACGCTAGTTAACATTTCGTTTCATCTCGATTTTCCATGGCATTATATATAAAATAAAAAATTTTTAATATGCTTATATTTTATATATATATCATTTGGCTAATATGTATATTAAAAAGATTTAAAAAAAAACATTTTGTCGAAATCGTTTTTACGTTATTAACATTTTTTCGCTCATTTAGTGTCTTAAAGCGAGTACGAGTTTATTTCGACATGCACTTGCATATTCTTTTTTTCTTTTCCAGGACGGCTGGAAAATACGATAAAAAGAACGATGAGGTTTACGAGGAACCAAAATTTTCATTGTAAATTGTTTTCTTACTATATTGTATTTCATGGTCCCTTATGGTAAGGAAAGACGACCAGACGCTGCTAAACCTAGCAAGCTATCGGAAGAGTGCTCACCAACGACGAAACTCGTTGGGTTTAAACTTCTGGCTGGCCACGTCTTAGGGTCATCACTACTCCACTAGGGAGGGAGTGATCTGTAGCGGTTAATAAATCCTCAAAATAAATAGCTCTGTAAGTTTTCGACATTGGATGCTGGCCACATTAGTTCCACTGGACTCAACTAGCTGAAGGCGCTCGGTCATGCATCCGCACCAGACCACGAGCGAGAACGCCGTGCTCAACAACCCCTGCAATCGCTAGTCAGTCTGTGTCAGTCGATCCTCGATATATTGATAGTGTATTAAATATATCTTCGAACCTCCTCGCTCCTGTCTTTTGACTTCATTCGGTGGGTGCGAGTTATATTAGGTGTTACTGGTTAAAGCGTTGTCAAACTCCAAATACCTGTGGCATCTTCTTAGTCTTCAGTTATAAGAATAGGTCTATCGACCTATATTATTCCCTGCAATTTCTAACTCAGTAGAGGTCCAATCTCGTTTTGAATATATCAATAGGTGATGGTTTTGCGTGTTCCGGTAGAGATTTTCCGTCATTCATTACTCGGTCAGAGAAACAACACTCCATATGTAGACACTTTGATCTCAGTTTTTGAATATCGTCTCAAACGATCAGTTGTAGATGGAAGAAAGGGATAAGAAAATTTGATACCAAGAACATCATTCAGTGTTTAATCAATCCACAACCTGCGGTGATAGGCTGTAGTGACCTACTTTTATGAAGAGAACGAGACTGGCGTAATGGAAACAATTATTATTATAACCAACTGTACCAGTGATTGTTTTACTGTACCTGCTTGTTTAGGTATACCAAAAACCCTCTTTTCGGTTGTCTGTGACTTGGCACGACATCTCGTACGCTCTGTAGTTTCGCCCGTAGGTTTTGGCACGATCTCGGTATTATTTCGATACCACGAGATCGCCAACAAATACGTCTTAACTTCAACCTCCAACTGCCGTCAGATATTTGGCCTACGGAAGGGTATAACCTGTAACTGGCACGTAGTCTTTCTGTAGTGGTAATCATAATCAGCAGCGACTCGACGCCTACTACAAGATTGAGGAGTCTCAGTCTGACTTCACAAGGTAGATTAGAGGGACCTTTACCATTTCGGTCACTTACTATTCAACTTACTCTAGCACATCCACCTGATACCTGAAACAAAGACTGACCGACTGAATCTCATATCTCAATTGTAACCTGACGAAAGCCAGGCACAATACCTAAAAATTTC